AACACTTTAACACCTTAACCGGGTTCTGGCCTGAAGGAAAAACCTGACGATGTATATGCGTGCAAGAGAGTTTTTAAATCAGCGAAGCTCACTGCACCCGATAAGGCTTCGAGTTGCTGAGCCGAAGGGCCCTCGGAGAGAAGAAGTTCTTATCTCCGAGGGCCTATCGGGCCGCTCTTCTGAAGAACGGCCCGATAGCAATAGCAGTTCACACCAGGGATGGTTATCGAGGAACCCTCGACGAGGATAGACACAATCAGGGGGGTTTCTTGCTGCGTGGCAACGCAGGCGTTCTAGTAGAGCCACGTTTTTAACTTTGTTCTCGTCGGACTTCGCAAACTGCTTCACATCAATTACACCCCTGAGCTTCAGCTCACTGCTATGGTTACCAAATGGCCAAAGTTCGACTGCAGCGGTACAACAGTGCAAGTCGAGTAATGTTTTGCAGTCTTCGACCGTTGGCGCATGCGTACGGCTTGCACGTACGCACAAACTGTTGCCGTTGGAAGATTTCATCTAGAACTTGATCTCAAATATGTCAAGTGATAAAGTAAACCGTCTAGCGGACTTTCACTCCGCTCCGGTTATTCCTAAAGGGAATGTCCTCACCGCGTGGGCTGTCCTGACGAACAGTATCATCGGTGCAGGAATGCTCAGTTATGCGAGCGCTCAAGCTGTCTGTGGGTGGGTATTGGGTATCGTCCTCCTACTCATTTTCGGCCTGTTGTCTTACTTCTCGCTGCATCTGATAAGCAGATGTGCCATGAAGATGCCCGGCAAGAGGCTTAGTTACAGTACCTTTGCTGTGGCTGCTGGTTATCCAAGGATGCCTCTATTCATTGACACCCTCATGTTCATACATAACGCCGGCATTGATACTGCCTACCTGCAGGTCTTTTCTAGCCTTGGTCTGGCCCTGCTGGAGAACTGGGCGCCTGGCTCAACTAGCGAGAATAGATTTTGGATCCGAGTTGGTCTTATCGCCCTCATCATCGCTCTGCTCTCCCCAGTTTGCTTTCTGAAGCAAATCACCAACACGACGATCACTAATGTCATCGGTCTCAGCTGCTTCCTCTATGCGATAGTAGCTGGTGTCGCCTACTCCTTCAGTGTAGATGAGCAAGTCGGGGAGCGCTACGTTGGTATACCACCGACTACTACCGTTTGGTCGATTTTGTCGGTTTTCCCAATCTTCATTTTCGGCTACTCGTGTCACTTTGTCATGCCCCTGGTCGCAGAAGACATGGTCAGGCGAAACATGAGGAAGCTAGATCTCGCCGCTCTACTTGCGGTCACTTCCGTGGTTGTGGTATACCTTTCAGTCATGGTTGGTCCCTATTACGCTTTTGGGGATACTATAGAGTCGAATTTCTATCTCAACTTGCCGGTCTCTAACGTCGCCATCCACATCGGATACATCGCTTTGCCGTTTGCCGTGCTCACTGCCTTCCCATTGCTCCTGTTTCCGGCCAGGCAATCTATCAGCAGTGTCATAACGTACTTCCTCCCCAATCTGCAAGACACGCTCAAATTGCATATCGGAACGACAATAACCTTCCTGGTTATCTGCACTGGTCTGGCAATCATCTTTGAGGATCTCGGTGTCACTATTCAGTTCATCGGCATCATCGGTACCAACTTCCTCGCTTTTGTAATACCATGTTTCGTCTACCTCAATATCTGTTACAATTCGATGTCGAACCCCTCCGAACAACCCGTTAGTGAAGAGGTGGGAGGCTTGAACTACTCTCCGGATGTTAAGGATGATGAACAACAAGAGAAGGTTAGCCTCCTCAAGAAGCTGCGGAATCAAACCCTTGAGTGGCACGGTGCACTAGCCCTCTTCATTATCAGTCTTATATTCTTCCCATTGTGTCTTACTGGGTTGTTGTACGAACTTACCACCAACTGATTGGCTGGAACTGAGCGGATCGGTATACAAAACGACAAATCGTCCGTACACTCAGTCTCTAGCAGATCGGATTTTCAATTTCATTTGAGAGGATTTCATCCTCCCATGTAAGGTAGAGGATGTCTATAGTATTCGCGGAGTCAACGTCATGCTGTCGTCGGTGTTCTACAATATAGCATACACCAATCTCATGTCGTTTGTCTTTTTTTGTCTAACATTTTCTTGATACCGTCGTCGTGATTAACGTCAACGATTCGGAGATCATTTTTCTGGCGGATCTTGATCCCCTAGTGACACTCTTTTCGTACAGCTCCCGTCTTATTTGTCGGGCATTCCTCCGAGTCGAGTTCGTTAGCGGGTCGACGGGTCGTTATCGGGAATGTCTCTCAAGCCTCCGCTTCTCTCGAGTCTGTGGCCAGTCCTTACTTGATTTTTGACAGCACGCAGATTGGAATCAGTGATTCTAATCTGCGTACTGTCGACCATCAATTTGATGGCATCAAAGGAGGTCATGTCGCCGGCGAGTCAGTGTGGGGTTCAAACCAGACTTCAATCTGTCGGTAAGGCGTTTAACATCCCAGGTAGCGTGCTGAGCTTCCGCTCTTTGGCTTTCAAGGAGCTTTGAGGATCTAACAAAATTGCTGGCGCTCTAGGACACCCTCCAGCACTTTTGTGATCGAGGTCGGAGTGGCCCTCTCCCGACCGATCGACTTGTTGCGAGGGTAGCTACATGTGAACCACTAGATATAGCAATATTCGACAGCTCGGGAGACATATCGCGGCTGCCCGGCATCTA